TCCCCACCGATCCCTAATGTTAGTCAGTCACAAGTGCATCTATGAACGGTGAACAGCCATTATTCGCTTTTATATATGAAAGGCATCTCCTACTTTGTGTTGTATCCATTCAATCAGAAGTTGCCTTACCTTCCCATAGTTAATTGTCTACCTAACTGAAATTCTCATCTTCAAATGAATGTTAAGCATTGCTGACACGTCAAAACAACCAGCTGCTTTGTAGAAGGAAGGGAAATTTATAAAAGATCATTGTTGCTTGAGACATAATCACACATAATGTCATCCGTCTGCATAAACGGGACATTTGTTAACAAAGGATCGACATCGAGGGAAAACATGACCATCTAAATATAAGCCTCGTGATAACACTTAGTTTCTCCAGCAATATCTTCTTTTTAAATAAAAAGCTACTGAAACTCCCCCAATGGAATTGAATATTCCCGCTCAACATTTGTTAAGTTTGTAGGTTGGAGACCTACGTATTGATACTACGGGGTGTAGGAGAACGTCATCCAGATTGTGAGTACCTGGGAAAACAATTTGTCATTTCAGTTTCGATTGGTCTAATAAATAATTAGGATTGTGTCATATCAACAGTACCCGTACTGAAAAAACCTATGCGACTGGTGATTGTTTTCCATTTTCAAGCCTGTGAATCTTCAGAGGAGCTTCCTATTGTTAGTTTCTTCTCACTTACGGGAATCGATGAAATCTCTCATGTTCATCACTTTCATTCATGATATTGGCAATACAAGACTTTATCTGTTCTAAGAATGAGGTAATGAATGCCAAATTCCATTACTATACTGTGCAAATATTCATTATTGTTCGTCTCTGCTAATTAAGAATACAGTATACAAATAATTCTGCTAAATACAATTTTCTAACTACAAAGCACTCCACGTTGTACTTCGTATTCGATAAATTTCAGGTTCAGATAACTACATTTATGAACAAAATTTCACATTTTAGTATATGCATATTCAGGAAGAAAACCCACTCCAATAAATATTTAGACTTCAAATCATCACACTCCATCAGCGCAAAGATTTCAGTTGTTTCAAGTCTTCTTAAACGAGCACACTCTCTCATAACGGATGAGAGCTACGTACGCTTGCTTTGAATGGACGAATGATGCAGAACACGTAGTTCAGCGTAGTCTTTTTCGGCGAATTCATTCATTTAGTTGTACAATCGCAATCATATATTGATATTTTTGTACACTGTATGTAGTACTGCTGAAGCCTAAGCCATTCACAGTTGGAATAACCAGAGTTATGTATGCAAAAGGAAATCATTCAACCACTCCTACTATTATCATGGCAACAACCGTGTTGACTTCTGCTGACTCGACGTTTGTGTGCGTACTTCTCTAACTCCTTATAACTCTTGTATTTCTTTACAATTACAAATTTTCTTTCGTTTCTATGTACATCCTAATCAAAACTCACGAAATTATTCATCTTGTTATGTAACTGCAATATACTCATTCAACTTCTTTTATACATTGACTAACTTTGATAAGTCATCACCACTACCCTCTCACTAATCATGACACCCTAGTTACAATTTGATTATTCACCACATTTTCTGAAATATTTTGATGACGAAAACAACAAACCTAACTAATTTTTATTCTTGTCTGACAAACCTAATGTGCATATGCATAAAATAATTATATATTATTATTATTATTGTATCCTTTAGTTCCTAGAGGAACATATATATATATATATATATCTGAGACTGTACAGCCAAGTGGATGAATTCTCCGAAGAGACTTTTCGCTGAATTATGCGTTTTGTTTTCATTAATGTCCGGAAGGGGATTATTCATGAATGTGATACAGAGGCAGAGGATGGTTATCTAGGCAGCAATTATGAGAATGTACTAACCGGAATTTTCAATCACCTAGAGTTCAGTAGTCCTATCCACAAATTCAGTATAACTAAAGAGATTTCCCCTATGTGAAGGGGATGGACGTGAGCATGATTTAAAGGTAGCCGTTAAAAATTAGATGCCAGGAGATATAGTAAATCAAGTGTTCACTTACATAAGAAGCCGAAAACGTTTAGGACAGGTTTGTGATAAACAGTTTCGAAATACGTTATTATTCGAACACTTGTTAAGTAAGGAGGAGATTATTTGAAAAGTGTGATGCATTTGAGCAATAAATTTTGAACAGTCTGATCATACATTTACTTGTCAAGTCAATTTATTTCAAGTTAGTCAGCACTGGGTGACGCGGGTTAGAATCTCAGAAGGGACATGAGTTCCTTCGAGGTTGCAGATACGCTGTGCTGATGAGTGCCAACTAGCACGAAACCTGGGTCCAAGGCTTCCTGTGGCCGATTGCCTCCAACCACCTAATACCAATATTTCAATTCAGACCACACATTGATATCGGTTAGAGAACCATTGAAAACCAGCTCTGGAGTACTGGACAGCTTTTTCAACAGCCTAGTTTAGGGATCATCATCAGTATGCACCCACCGCCACGGTTTGCACCCAGGACCTTTCAATTACAAGACAAGCTCGTATGTCACTCAGCCACAGAGTCCCGACTCAATGTCCTATGAAGCCTAACTTCTACCAATTGGTGACGATAGAGTTCCGGCCGATGAAACTGGTTAGCGTTCACGCGAATAATAAGAATAATTAACACAACGTTTGGCTATCCAATCAGATAAGGATTACCAAGGTAGGTTAAGGGTTTATAAACACACAGGGGGGCTTGAGTTTACGAATAGCTATAGCCTCAGTGTATTTCAATAAGCACCCTTGACCATCTTTATAGGTGACCTTGAGAGCTGTGTTAACATCAATCCGTTGGGTCATATCGATTAGATGTTTGACTATAGATGAAGTTGGTAGTCTGCCACCTGCGTCTTTTGATTTTACAAAGTTCATCTGTCTTTCTAACCATTTCGTAATATGCTCTCCCACCCTCGCATGCAAAGTGCGATAACTCCTCCCTGTGTATGTGGGTCCACACAAACACATGTGAATTGGTAAATAGTGTGGGATGTGATACAATCACCTGTGCACTTTTGGCTTTTTCAATGATTACGAGCCGGACTGCATAACAGGTCCTACGGATGACTGAGTTTAATCTCTGTCTCAAAATCCCACTATTTATTTCCACAATATGTGGTAATTTGATGAAGATATCTTTCTTAGGGGCGGAATACATTCTAGGGTTTAAGACTAACTTCTACATCTGTTTAAATTTTTTAAAGGATATCCGTTTTCAACAAGATTGTATCCATCAGTATTCTATTCTCCTTCTCTATAACATCAGCCGTACAAATACGCTGAATTCTCCTTGAATTAACATTTCACCACGCTTCTCTTATACCATAGTGGACAGAAGTTGTGAAAATTTAAGTACTGCCTTGTCTAAGTAGGCTTACTGTAAATTGATCGTCTTATCGAACCATCGTTGGTTCGACTCAGAAGTATGTCTAAAAATACAAACTGGTTGCGACTTTCTTCCTCGCATGTATGACTTATATGATTTTGTGCGGAGTTAAGTTTATCCAATAGACGGCTTGCATCTTCATGATCATCATATGCCAAAATACTATCACCTAGATATCTCCTATAGAAGGGCAATTTAGCAATTAAATCAAGGGACAAGTTTTCAACGTAGGACATACAAACATCCGCTAACAAAGGTCCTGATAGACTCCCCACAGGAACACCATCCACTTGTCGGAAGTGCTCACCTTCGAACGTGATATGGACGTTTTTCATATCGGTTGAAGAAAAAGGAAATAAAAAACAACTAGAAGATATTTAGTCACAGTGGTTAGGACTCTCGCCGACCATGCACATGGTCCGGGGTTCGAGCCCGCACCGACGCACATCTGATATCTATGGTCGGCCTGCAAAATTTGGACTGTCTGGATTCAACATAGAACTTGGCACCGAAGTGCACCAGTTCGAGTTGCCACGTTCCAAATAGCCCACAGAGGTAGACAAGAAGATGAGTGAAGAGAATTAATAGAGTTTGACAAGTATAAGAGTGAAACAGAATGGGTAATGGTAGAAAGGAATATGAAAGATTACAGAGACTGAATACATCTGCGCTGGCCAGTGACAAGGATTTTGAGCCATGTCACCTATTGTCTCCAGCCATTGATTCCTAGAGTCCCGAGGACCCCAACCCGGGAGTCTGCATCTCCCTACCTGACTCAGTTCAACTGTCAAGGATTTCATGGATTGATGAGGCCATGTTTTTGTTTGGCCACCACTGGCTCTTTTCCAACCTGAACCTATATCAGCTAGCAATGCCCGTCGGGGGAGGCGGTGGTTAGGCATGCGCAGCACCTCACCTAGCCATCTTAGTCTATCTAACTTTATAGCCTCGTCGATTGATTTTCCCTCTTTGCCCAACACTCTACGCCTAACGTCAACATTACTTACCTTGTGAAACCACCTAACGTGAGACAGAGATCGCAGACATCTATGATCGAAAGCAGTCAACCTTTTCATGTCTTCAACTCGTATTGGCCATGTTTCAGAGCCATAGACAAGGACGGAGCGAACTGCTGAGCAGTATACACGTCCCTTGGTCGATAACCGGATGTCACGCCTACGCCAGAGATGGTGTTAGTTGGCGAAAGCAGTTCCAGCTTTTGGATCCGTGCTGAGATTTCGTCGCCAATCAGTCCATTGGTGCTAATACAACTTCCCAAATAGGTGAAGTGGTCAACATGTTCTATCACTTCTCTCCCTATCACTAAGTTAGGAGTTGACGTGGTCCAGTCCTGTAGCAGCATCTTACATTTTGTAGGGCGAATCGCATGCCAAACATACGGAGATTGCTGCTCAAAGTGTTCAGAAGACTGCATTTTGTCAGCAAAATTTGGGCTACCGACATCCATGCTGAAAATCCCATACTTGTACCGAAAATACAGTGTGGAATCAAGCTGTAAATAAAAAAATGAATGTCAACAGTCACTTTGTGTACTTTAATTGCCCTTAATTTGTTTCATATAAATTGACTTGACAAGTAAATGTGTGGTCAAATTGTTTGAAATGTATTGCGTGAATACATCCCACTTTTCAGATAATCATCACCGTCTGCTAATGACACTCTATCTCAAAATTATAAAAAAGGGACTAATTGTTTTAAATAAATAATAAGAGCTTCCTATTTTCAAATATCATACACTGGAATCGGGGTAGCAACAAAATAGACTTCAGTTCACTGCACATATAATATAATGATATTCCTCTGTTTTAAACAGCGTAAAAAAAGAAATACAAAGGTGGTGTGTTTATTAAATGTTGTATATAACTTCTTTAGTTATTTCCCCATCTGAAAAATATTAAACAGCACAGAAGAAATTTGTACAGACTTTTTTATTCAAAGAATAGTGATGAATGTGTGTTCTTGTTGCACATTCACACTCATTTTTCTGGTACGGTACGTATCATCAATTTTGCGCAATTGTTTTTCTTTAAGTATTCACACGTATCTCTGAATATTTTGGTCAAAGATATTTATAAAAAAAGGTGAATAATATAAGAAAAACAATAAACCTTATATCCACTCTTCTCTTAATTTAATCTGACGTGTGTTGTAAACGAAGTGAAATGAGTAAAAATGGCACGTAGGTGGGGGGGATTGGGAACCATGAAAACAAAATTGAAATTGGCAGGGGAAAAAAGTTGTGGTCTTGAGGACCAATCACAATGTGTTACACAAATTTAGTCTCCCAGGTTCAACAAACACGAAGAGCGGGGCATCGACGATTGTCCACTTTCTAAAATAAGTAAAGTAATAAAAATATAAATAAATAAAAGATTAACCGAATGAAGTGACAAGCAATTGATTCACAAGGGAATACAATAATACGTATGCAAAATATAAAACAAGTTGGACATTGTGCGTGTAACAACGTGCGACCGTAAATTGAGGATAACGATCGCTTGAAGCTATTTGTTTTGGCGACAGCAAACCCCAATCAAATATCAAGGATAGCGAGATAATCAAGTGTTGGTTTGTGGGAATTTGGTTGATTGGTTACAGGATTTCATCATGTGCTGACATTAGTTAGAGAACTATTGGAAAACCTGCAGGAAGTACTAGACAGCTGTTTCATCCTAGTTTGGGACTCTTCAGCAGTACACGCCCACCGGGGTTCGAACCCAGGACCTTCTGGTTACAAGGCTAGCTCGTATACCATTCAGCCACTGGGACCCGATTCAATAGCCAGCCCATGAATTCTAACTTCCGCCGATTCACGACCTCTAGCCAATGTCTTCGGCGAGTATTTATCCTCACACCCGAGCTGCTGCAGCCTACTGGTCACGACTTCTCACTAGAACCTACCTGAATAGGGCAAGTCCCTAGTGAGCATCTGATGTAGGATAGTATGGAAATAGATATATTTGACTGGCATTATCTTTCTGTGGGAACTACCGACTCAACAGGCATTGTAATAAAAATGCACATGGAGTATCTGTAATAAGAATTTAAACATGATCAACACAACTAATACTCTAAGTAGTTTATTAACACACAACACCTGGACAGCATGTAAAGGATACACATCAACCTCTGTAAAGAAAATTATATTCGTATAAATCTCAAGGAAATCGAAATAAATAGTACCATCTAATGTATAGTTCAGAGAACTGGTCAGAAAATTAAAAATATCAAAGGTTACGTTTAAAATTCGAACCAGTTTGCTGACTGAAAGGGTGAATCTGTTTATTCCAGATCTCCTTGAAATCTGCAATCGGCGCTCAATTTTTATGGAACCGTTCGGTCAAATCTTGGCTGCAGTATGTATATATATTACAAGGTATGTAGTGTACTCAGACGACAAGGCTATGGATTCACTAAATAACAATTTGTTAACATTCGTGTCAGGAAATGCTTCCACAGTAGCATTACGATCATTATTTGCATGAATTAGGTGATATATCAAGAAGACGTCGCTTTTCATATTTTGCGGTAAGGTAGAATTAAATTCCATATGAAATAACCTTACTTCATATTGTACAAATAAATTTATCCAGTCCGGTGTACTCTACTACAATTATACTCGTAAATTAGTCAGTTAGGCTTTACCACATTTTAGCTGCAACACCCACATGAGTCTCAAAAGATGAGTGGAGAAACCAACGGTAAAAGTTCTATACTATTACGACAGGCTTTTTTTAAATACAGAAACTTGTAAAAGATAGAACTTATCAAGACGGCTTTGATTAATAAACACTAAGGGAAGTACCGGAATTTCATGGAATGACTCAGAAACCAGTTGGTTATGCAGTTTGAAACGTTATTTTAATATTATTCCTCCCAGTCAAGAAGGGATATCTTGATATGATGATTTTCGGTTGTGAAACGAATACCGAGAAAATAGATCGCACTGATCAAGGCACTGTTATAACTCAGTTGCCAATTGATTACAACTGAACGGAACTGAATAAATCCGCTGCTTCTTACTTATGTCTGAGCCTGTTAATTACTGTAACGGTATTGAACTCGACAATACGCCAATGCGTCTATTTGTCCGCTGTGCCTTCTGATTCACTGAGCCATGTAAATGTCAAAAGACAAAGGTTGGCTTGTGACTAAGATGTTTGTATTATGCTATACTACACTAGTTTAAGAAACAACACATGCTATTTATACATTTTCTTAACTATAATAAAGTCGACTTACGGCCATAGGAATGTATTGATCTTAGTGATTGGAAATGTCTATCCTAATTGGTTCGTGATCAGACAAAGATTAAGGTGAAACAAAACAAGATGAATTGGACACACGCTAAATCACATTATGCATGAGAAATGATACGTTCACACAGTAACTCCATCACATGATAAATCAAACGATTTGTGAGAAAGGATGATATACTATATTATGCTGGGGTTCTATCAGGCACTTTACTTGAACTCATGCTGCCAGGTGACAGTCTACGGAGAGTTGTCATCTGAAGTGGTAGCAACCAGCGATGTCCGCCAGGGATGCTCACTGTCCCCATTCCTGTTTAATTTCATCATAGATGTACTAAAGGACTTAACCGAAACTGACTTCAGCGGTTGACTTGTTACCAGAGTATAATCTCGATGACTTAAAATATGCAGTAGATATAGTCCTCCTAGGTGGAAACACTGACAAAATGCAGAATCTCCTGAACACCTTGAGCAGCAATCTGCGTATGTTTGGCATACGATTCGCTACTGTCAAATGTAAGGCAATGAAGCTACAGGACTGCACTACATCGACTCCTAGCTTAGAGGTAGGGAGTGAAGTGGTAGTGTGTTGACCACTTTACTTATTTGGGTAGTTGTATCAGCCCCGATGGGTTGGTTGCTTACGGAATCTCAGCATGGATACAGAAAGCTCGTTTGGCATATGCCAACTTACACCATCTCCGGCGTAGACGTGATGTCCAGCTGTCAACCAAAGGGCGTGTGCATTGCGGTTTGCACTGTCCTCCTTTATGGCTGTGAGACACGGCCATTGAAAGTGGAAGACATGAAAAGGTCGGTTAGCTGTCTATGATCATAGATGTCTGTGTTCTGTCTCCCTTGTCAAGTGTTATAATGGGGTAACACTGAGGTTAGGCGTCCAATGTTAGTCTATGTGTAAAACTTAGGCACTGTGGCAGTATGCAATTCCATATTAAATGGCACTAAATAATTGCTCAGTCAATGTACGTATATATGTGATAAAAGTTATAAGGGGTAGAGTTGAAGTGGATAAATTACATGTATAGCTAAAGCTTCGGCTATACATGAACAGAAACCTAAATTATGTGTTCAAAAGCGTTTTGTCAAACCCCTTTCTTTACCTTGGCCATAATAATTTTCTTTCTAGTTTTTATTTTATTTTACCACTTGAATTCTTTCCACTTCACTTCACATCTTCATTCTTATCGTAATCGTACTCCTAATTTTCAAAATTTTTAGACAACACTTGACATTTTTGTTATAGAACAATCTTTAATATTTTTGTAATTTATCCACTTCAACTCTACTCCTTATAACTTTTATCACATATATACGTACATTGACTGAGCAATTATTTAGTGCCATTTTTGTTATAAAACAATCTTTAATATTTTTGTAATTTATCCACTTCAATTCCATATTAATTTGTTTATTAGGTATATCACACAGTGAATTAGCATTATTTACTGAATGATGTTTCGAACACAATTTATTGTTCATAATCATATCAATTATAATCAGGTCAAATACATACGTCAAAGTGGTAGAACGGGGTCAGTCAGTCAGACTAGCGGAGCACAAAATTCTAGCAATGTCTAGATATGTTGACCCTAATAGGATAAAAAATCTGGAGAAAAGTTCAGCTATACCATCCACTACATCCAATCACATAAAACTATGCAATAGGATGGGATAAGACAACAGTTTTAAAATCTATTGCAGCAGGGTGGTGGAAGAGACTGATAATTGAAGCTTTATTTATCAAATCAACTGAGAGAGAATAAGTGTAATAGGAATGACTGGACACCTGTCCCAGACATCTGGAAAATCCCACTACCCCTGCGACGACGAAGAGGAGGGAATAAAGAAAGCCATAAAAAGGGAAGTTTCAAAGTCGTGTGATTGTAAGTGATATGATTATGAACAACAAATTGTGTTCGAAACCCTGTCATCCCAATAAATAATACTGTTTCGCTGTCGATTGTTAGGTGAGGAGGGAAAGTCGATCGATGAGGTTGAGAAGGTACATAGATTGAAATGGCTAGGGTGCAGGCCTAGTATTCCCCTTCCTAGACAAACAATGTTAGCTGACATAGGAACAGGTTGGAAAAGAGCTAGTAGTGGTCAAACCAAAACATGAAGTCAGTCCAAGAAATCGTTGACAGTTAGTTTGGGCCACGTATGGAGATGTAGACTGCCTGGTTTGGGCTCTCGGGATTGTAAGAACCAACAGCCACAGACAATTGATGATGTGGCTCGAAATCGTTCTCACTCTCTTCGTGGTTTTTCATATCCAATAAAACTCTACTGTTTTTGCATATGACTATCATTTTTCCCTCACTCACACTTCTGTTTATTATCTCCATCTTTTAGATCTCTCCTTACTCTCTTCTCTTGCTTTGTGTGCTACATGGAGCGTGTCAGCTCCAACTGCTGAACATCTGTGAAAAGTTCCAGGCTGAAGCCAGTTAGTCAGTCAGATATCTTAATGATGAAATTCAATTTGGTATGCTTGTTTCAGCGAAGTAAATCTTCGCGATCTGTTAAGTTATATATGTAACAAAACTCTATTGCCCACCCACGCGCCTCTTACCAACTGAAAATTTCCTCTTATGTCTGCCTGTAGGTCATTGATATTAGGTATTATTTCATGATCTATTTCTGGATTAGTTACTTATAGATTTGATTGAGTTTGTGTATGGGTTATTAATCGTATGAGCCATCTTTCCATTCCTGCAGTCTTGATTTGAATCCGTAGGTTTTGGTTCACTTAATCATAGCCAGAATCTTGAGGTGAACGTGATTTACTTCTCATATTGATTGTAATTTAATAGGAGTGCTGCGCAAGTCAATTTAGACAATGTATTTCAGCAACTATTTATATTCATGCCTTAATGTTTGTTTATTTGATATAATAATTCCTAAAAAATGAAGTAGTATTTAGCAAAGCTTCTTATTCCTGTGAGAATATTACTGACAGATGTATAAGTTTTTATTCAGGAAAAGGATATGTGAACTCCTTCAGGCATCAGATGACTTTATCCCTCGAGGTTTCCCAAGATAATTTACAGTTGTAACTAACTGAAACTTAATTAAAATTATTAAGTCGCTTGACTGTTATCATGCCGAACTCGTCTCATTTTAACTCAACCGAACTTGGCATTTTGATGATATCTCTGAATAGCACAAAATATATAGTTGAAATAATACAGGCATGCGATAACGACACAGTGAAAATTTCACTCAACATACAAACAATAACACAAGTGATCTCATTAGTGAATCAACTAACTTTTTGTTGCTTCTTTCTACCAGTAGTTGTCTCAGCTGCCGTGTTGACCATGGAGGATTTTAAGGGTTTATCTGATGTGTTTTGTACATTATTGAGTGCATCATTGAAAGGCTGCTGCTGTTCAACGTCTGTAACATAAAAGCCATGTGGTATAATCGGTTGACCATTATCTTGATTTTGTTGAATATTGTTGTTAGGAAATGACATATTTGGACTGGATGGATGAGGGCTAAGAGTTGACATTATATCAGACTGTGAAAATATAAGTTTATTAGGGAGAGCTGATTGTTGTTGTTGCTGCTGTTCTAAAGATGAAGGATTCATATTAAACGATCTAGAAGACGATGGAAAACCATTTATTTTCGATGGTAACTCATTCATCATTTGACCACGTCCAATATCAGAATCATTAGAAGTACAAGGACTTGCAGAAGATGATGTTAATCTTAATGAATTTAATTTTGATGGTCCAGAGAACAAATGAGGAAATTCATGCTCACAGAATAAATTACCATCCATAATGCAAACTTTATCACCGGGATGCAATGGAGTATGACATTGTGTACAACAGAAACAATTCATATGATACACTTTATCTTGACATCTCATGACAAGTTCGTCTGGGGGAATTTGAACTCGACATTTTGCGCATGTTCCCGAAAGACCAAACAACCTAAAATCAAAAGTAGCAATAAAAAGTTCAGCTTTAAAATAATGCTGCTCATGAATGCTTCAATAATTATATACATGATATGTAAATGAAATACTATCCTTAGACTACTTATCCACTCGTTAAGTAAACCCCCGTAATTGTTGGTATTTTGCTATTAACAAAATTATACTGTCAGGTGAGATAAATTCCGATAATCTCAATGTTTTGTTCCTTTTTGGGTAAATTTGCATTTCCCGTTGAGTGAGACCAAAACGTTGGGGTTTCTGTTGACATGTCGGCGCCTAATACGGACGGGAAATGGAGATTAACCTAAAAACCGATAGTAACTGGTACTCAGAGTGGTTCTAGTGGCCTAGTGAAGCAGTGTTTTAGCGTTTGAAGATATGGGTACAGGGTTCGAGTTTCAGTGGGAACACCACCACTCACTGGGAATGCAGGTATATCCAGCTGCGCGTCGGTGGCACAGTGGTTAGGACTCTTGCCAACCATGCACATGGTCCGGGGCTGAACCCCTGAGACGACGCACACCTGATATCTACGGTCGACCAGCAAATTTTGGCTACTGATATCACATGCTGAAAATTCCACACCTGTACCAAAAAATATGGTGTGGAATCAAGCTGAAATCAAAAAAGTAGGACGAAATGTGCATCTTAAATCCTGCTGCTAGTCACTACTAAACAAAATACTCTAAATATCGTTAGATTTAGTTATTTAGTGTCATGAAAGTTATCTTGAAATGGTTTAATAAGTCAGTAACATGGTGAACTTATAGTGGATCAGATCAATGTTACACATAAAAAGTTTTCATGAAAACAAAGATCTTATAGACACAAACTGATTGGATTTAAGGGCCTATCTTCCCAGGCGAAATGAAACAATGGAGATGTTGAACGCAGTTGCAGTGCTATTCTTTTTAAACGGTCTAACGACAATTAACTGACAATCACTGACCTTGGTTATAGAAAACCACCAAGTATATCTTGTATATACACTCAAACGAATCAGACCATGTATGTGTATGCAAAACAATCGACTCAGAAAGTGAGTGTGAATTCAATTGACATGTTCTCCTATCCACCCGCTTTTTGTTTTTTTTTCAACTTTCATCTATGGGCACCGCTAAATTCTTTCTGAAGCTATTTCAATCTTATTTTATACCTCAAACACAATGCGTCTAGTTCACTCTGTGTTCTGCGTAGAAGCGAATACAATTCAAAACAGTCTGTAATATATACAAGCTGAGGAAAAGTGGTGTGGGCAAGGTAGGAAGGACATAGAATACAGTAAAAACCACATTACTCTCTCTTTCTGATCTAACTAATATGTACTGCTGTATCCAACTTGTATTCATACCTGGTAGCCTTATCCCGAGTGTATGACAGAGACAAAAAAAGATTCATAGTTTATTTTAGACTGCTTAATTAATCCAAGCCTCAGAGGTATGCAGCTACCAACACGTGAACAAGTGTAGTTTATAATTTGAGACATGTTTATGCATGCACAACGTTATACACAAACACACACACACAGATTTCTATATGAGGGCAATCATGCGAGAAGCTCATTAGGACAAGGTAATTAACTAGCCAAACTTGTTCATTAGTAAATATATGAATGAGCAAGTTTTCAAAAATTTTATGTCAAAGTAAGAGAGAGTTGAACAACAACATACTTCGTTTAATTTCACATATAATATCATAGAAACAAACTGTTGATACAATTCTCTTTCAAAGAGAATTCCACAGTTGTTGTTGTTGTTGGTTTTTTGTGTTGAAAAGCAGGTGAAACAGTGAGTGAAAAGTGTTAGATTTTGTACAGAGTTAACCATACGCATATGCTGGCACTGTTTCGAAGCATTGCACTGTGTCATGAAATGTTTCATTATCCACAACGACTCGTATATCTAAGTAGATATTCATACTTTGCCTAAATTAGAAGAGACATCAATTGCATGGCATTTCCTATGGTGAGTTGTTCCCTGAATAATCTTTCGTTACGCAAATGAAGTAAAGCTTGACGTGAAGCCAAGTTTATCAACTTTTCCTCCCTCGAATGGCATAGAGTGAGTTAATGAATCGGCATGCTCATCACCCTAAAAAAGAAATAAAACTATTTATCTGAATCGTGTAATGTATTCGCCCAACGCATTTCGAAACATCTGATCACACACGGACTTGTCATAGGAATATCTATAAAATTAACTAACTTGTGAGAAAGACGTGTGCTTCACTCTACCCTAGATTGGGGATCATAGCAGGTTGGCAACTAGAAAAAGACAGAACCCTTACGCAAAAAAGACTTCATGCAGTTAATATCATAATAATTGAGATTGTGAAGCGCTTTGAACATGCGAAAAACGATGTCACATTCCACAATATTTAGCAATTTGAATGTACGTGTGGACACACATAAATAGAAAGGATTCATCGATCTCCGCAAGCCAGGGACTTTAAAGATAATTCCAAATGGTTTCAGAATCAAACAGAATCCCCAGAACCCATTATTGGTGAGAACAGGAGACTCACCTCCTCTATTATTAAACATATGATAGAGACAAGATATAAAATTGATGCCTACACGTCTTCTGAACCTATATGTAGAACGTGTTTCGGGGGTATCCTAAAGTTTGTGGAAGCCCTAGCTGGTAATTAGGAAGTTTAAACCACCTTTATGCGTTCAAAAACAATTCGTCATCACACTAAACAACCTTCATTGGTAAACTTTGTTTTGATACCAGACAGTGCAGATGTACTATTACCTCTCTTATTTGGTTGAGCGATCTTCATTGTTATTTTGACCTTCAATATGTTCTTTTAACTTGACCTAAGTCTATTTTCTCACCTCTTACCTCCTTATCAATTTCATATATATTCCTATGACAAGTCTGCGTGTGATCAGATTGTTGGAAATATGTTGCTCAAATACATTACACGATTCAGACAAATTACGTCTTCTGTTTGCTTTGTCTAAATTCATAGCGGGAACTAATTGCTTTAAAACCATTTACTTCATATTAAAATCAAAGCTGAAAACGCTGTCTACAAAGACAATGAAAGCTTTGCAATTACACCATCCAGTTCAGAAAACACTACACCAATAAATACTGATCACAAGGAGGAAATATCGAATATAGAAATTGAGGCATAACTCTCGGAATAGAACCCGAGTAATTCTGCTGGACGACCTGTGTCTCATACAATGAACTACTGAGAAGAAACATTATTTTGATTTTCTACACTTGTTGAGATTTATGGTAATTTCATGCCAAAATTTGTTCTTTGACATTCGCAATATCCTTGCTCTGGATACTTTGAATGATTTCTACACTATATAATAGAGGGCTATTTACTGCAAGACATTTCTAATACAATTTACCATCTATCAGCATATACCAAGGTAATTTCGCAGCTTTTCCTAGTGGCCCATAAACTTGCCAACATTTACCTTTGCCATTCAGCTCATTATTTTAATTTGAGATTTATTTCATGAATTGCTTGTTATTTACCCTACTCTGTGATAGAATGACCTTTTAGAACATTTAACTAAACATTCTACGGCTTGGATAACGTCGTATGTGATGTATGCACCGGCAGTTGCTCACACTCTCCGTCTTTTTCAAAACAGTAAATGTTTCCGAGCAAAAAGCATTTTCCTTCCAACTTCCTATGCACGTGGCAGGCAGATATTCAGTTGACAGAATCATTCACCTGCGTTTGAATTGGAATACCACACTGGAACAGCATAAAAACAGAAATCATAGTCTATTTCTGTATTTCAACTGGTAGTCACAGAAGATTTTAATGCCGCCATTCTATATTGTGATTAGGCATTGGCACATACACATATCGATAGACTAAGATATACCATTCTATATTTAGATAAACTTTGGCATTCTGATATTTTGAAGAATATAGGGCTTACTATTTCAGTCTACACACTAGTTTACAAAGCAAGGTGTTTGATATATAAAATTTCTACTGTCTAACCTAGTCTGTTTATATTTTTAGTATTTTTAATATACTGGTGCATTGAAGTCTCTGTAGCGGTTTGGTTGAGTTTTGGGGGTACAGTTGCTAGCACCACGCCCCAACCCTCCCTCTTTATCCGGGCTTGGGACTAACTAGAAAACTAGCAAGCTAATAGTCTAGGCGCGTCAGGCCCTCGAGTGGAACCCGAAAGGGAAGAGGTGAGTGGGACGTCAGTGCAAAGGTGACATGGAGGAGATCGTGTGAAGAAGAGTTGAAACAGTATGGACTAACATGCATGGATGTAGATGAAAAGTACAGCAGAAGCAAGTGGAGACGTGCAGTTGAAGCCCTATGTTTCACTAGGAACCGAAGGGAACAATAATAATATATATTACCTAGTCTGTGATTCAACATTAGAGTGCTAGTCAGCCAGGCGGAGGTCAGAATTCGACTCCCCCTCAGCACATTCTTAAAATGTCATATAGAGGAAGGCTAGCAGCACAACCCATAGAAAAAAAGACCAATGCTATTGAAACTTCAAAGGTTGATTCTTGAAATGCAAGGAGTGAAAAACAATCAAGTCTACAGAATTTTTTAGAATGCAAAGATACTTTTTTGGTATGTTTGTGACTTATTGCTCACACATGAAGATTTTTCGTTTTGAAGTTGAATTTACGAGTGAGACTCTGTCTTATTTATCAAGAAAAATCGATTCATAGGTTCAAGATAAGTTCTATGTAGTTAAAAAGAAATGTAAAAATCTCTTCAAAATACACAAAATATGATCAAATACAAAGACAAAAACGTGTGAAAACTGTTATCAAAAACGGTAATAAGAAAGTAAAGAAAATACGAGAAGTCATCAGTTTGATGACAAGTGCGCAAACTAATGTGGAATTACTTACTACCACAGTGCCCAAGTTTTACACATATATTAAGTGCGCAAGCACTTATGACTTAACCTGGTTGAAAACCAGAGGGATACCCACCTTTTGTAATGCCTTTTATGTGGCGATAGAGGCAAAAGATGGACTAACTTAAAATGTATCATTTCTAAGTAGCAAAATATCATATCAGTACGCCATCACTTTTTGCCTTACCATAAAAGTTATGAGAAAGTTCGGAAGCAGTTGGACATATTAAAGGGTCAGTTAAATAATCATTTACGATTATTATAAAGTTGAATAGTTACATCAGTGGACATAAAGAGATGATAATTCGCCCGAGATAACTTATATACACACCTCTGAGGTGTTTTGTCTTGCCAGTGTTACCACCAGTAACAATATTGCTTACGGCTTACATGCTGAGTGAATCCCAGTTACCTAATTGTAGCGCATCCCTTAGTGTCCATATTGTACAAAGTTTTAAATACAAATAAAATAAAGTTTCTAAAATAATCTGAAAAATTCCTTTTCTAAACGTGCGTATTTATGTACCTGCATATAATATCGAAGCTCGATGTTTTCATCAACCAGAAAATACTTCATTAGCTTTACTGAAACCGAAGACATACATAATGAAGCAAATCCCAACAAACACTACTCATATTCAGAGCGAAATAAACACAGTAAACAACTTCAAGCTAAGCGTAATGAGAATAACAACAACTGTTCTAATGAAGTAGAAGAGTAATGGTGAACTTCTTTCTAATGAGTTAAATTGAAGTGGTAGATATACTGCCTAAGTGACTGCTAATTAAATATCCTCAGGACTGAAATATATTGCACAGGAGGTTGTAAAACTATTAAGTACACAAAAACCAGATATATTTTCCAGTCACTGAGATAATAAAGTAACTCCCTAATTAAATAATAAGTTATTGAGATTTACTTTGGGAAAATTGATTATTTCAAAACAACTGGAATAACCCGAGTTTAAATCCAAGTGGATTGGTTAAGTTACAAAACCAATAGACAAGCCAAGTGGCTTTATCATACATCCCCGCTAATCGTAGCGTCATATCCCGTTGCTATGGTGGTTTAGTGACATGTTATATTTTTTATATGTTTTTTAAATGAAACTACGCCTTTAAAGTTTTCCTGATGTATATATTATCGGTGGATTTATACCCTTGAACTGCGCTACATTTGTTGTACCTTTGTCAGAAAATCTAGTTTCATACTGACATCTGAGCAATGTAATGGAGGTAGCAATTTCAAAAGTTAAACGTATATTACTGAATTTTCATGATATCATGCTGGTATATTTATTGAAACGACCTAATAACCACCGGGCAAAAGTGACACCACTTTAGGAAGGGGATATGCTGTATAGTTGCCCGTCACAACTACATGGTTTGAAGGTAAATAACTCCATACCTTTCAGTAAGAGAATTACCACACAATAAAACACCAAGTCAGTTGGCAAGTATTTCCACATTTACTTGGTTAAGCTGTTGTATTATTTAATTGTATTTGCCAGTAATCCTTACTAAGTTCACCTTAGAGCTCATCATTTTAACAGTAACAAAGATGGTTTAATTTTGGAGCAATCATCACAAGAAAATTATCTACATGTACAGAAGATAAAACCTCGACAAAACCTATGAGGAAATTTCAGAATCTACACCCATGGGCGATACTCGCAATCACTGTTGCGAAATTGACTGTGGACGCAGTTTATGAAATCGAAGGTATGACATTGTTGACTGGTTCCAAAGTAAGACTTCGCACAGAAATGCAGTAGTTCGAGTTGCCACACTCCACATAGCACACAAAGCAAGAGATGAGAGTAAAGGGAGATTCAAAAGTGAGACAGTAAAGAGAAATGGGAAAGGGAAAACAAATAGTAATATGTTTTTAAAACAAGCAATAAAGGTTAATAAGGCAGGATTTAATGAATTCACATTTCGGCAGCAGACAAATACACAAGAAGATGCTTGCAATTGCTGAGTCTTGTGCAATTCGAGTTTATAAACCAGGTCTCTGTGTACAAAAGGAGATGGTCGTGACTCTGAATCTACCATGGCAATACGCTTTACTTATTATTCTACCTCTTATTATTATCATTATTATTCTTGATTCATTTAAAACTATCCTTTATCAGTAGGATTATCTTAACTCACTTCAACACTATTACTATTGGTATTACTCTATTTGCAATTCTTGTTATATTCTCTAAT